GTTTCATTATTATTTAGCCGTATTGTAATAAGTTAATGTTTTTCCTCAGAGCAGCAATTTGCTGTAGAAGGCAAGAGAGTATCCGTAACTCATACAAAGTACAAGGGGCACACTGTGTCCCAGGAAAGCCTTCTCAGCATATTTAATTTAAAAAAAATACTCTACAGAACAATAACACTTGTATTTAAAGCTTAAAAAAGCAGCCAAGGTTTTGTAGACATGAGAAGCAAGGAGTATAGTGCTGGAGTATGCAAATTTCATAGTAAAGGTGGCCTTTAGGTTCCTAAAAACAGTAACAGGCACAGCTGATATAGCTGCTGCAGACACATCCCAATATTGAATTATTCTAGTCACAATCCAGACAGATCAGAGCGCTCTCACAAGAAGTTCTCTTCACTTAACTAAGGAAACATACAGTCCAGCAAGTCTGACTTCACAGATAGCAAAGCATACATTAAATAACCATTCTACAGAACAAAATAACAGCAGTCTCCAAACAAGAAAACAAAACCAAAACAGTTTCTGGTTTCGGTAATTAAATATTATTGTAGCTCAAAGGTTTTTCTTTTCTAAAGTGTTTCATTACAAATTGTTCTGTTCTGCAAAACACATTTGAACCGTGTTGTTCACATACTGAAATAAAGTGTCCAATAAAGTTATCTGTTGTTGTATTCACAGAAGTTCAAAATCCTAAACAAAAACAAACAGCTACTTTTTTATTCCCTGTACATATAATGGAAGATTTATGCCTCACTTTCCACAATGGTTCTTTTTCAAAAATGCTGCATTAAAGTAGTACCTAGAAAGCAGCACCTCCCATTTGGGCTTCACTGTTTGTCTGTAAACTCAGACTAAAGTTTATTTACATGAAAGCAACACAAAAGAATTCCAGGAAAAAAAACCAAACAAAGCATCCAACTAGGCTGAAGGCTCTCAAAACCAAAAATAACCACCCCCAAGAGCATCAGTGCTCTATTATCAAAATCTCAGGCACAATAAAGATGAAATCCCTCACCTTCACCCCCAGCAGTTTCTCCTTCTTATCTCCCACTCATATGCAGTGATTAAGTTTTAGTTAAACATTTTACCTATTAGTCCAATTCAAGCATGCTTGATCAAAATATTGCCAGAAGTCCAAAACAGATTAGTTCCAACTAAAAAAGGGAAAGTTGTCAGTGTTCTATCATTTAAGTAGTACAGAACTTAAATTGTCTAAGCTATTAGACTACTGTTACTTCTGTCAGTTTAATCAAAATTCGGCTTCCACTGTCTTTAACTCACCTCATTATGCCCAAGCATGGCAGCACGTACAGCGCACCACATACTGATCTCAGACCCCTGCAATAGGTAGGTACAATAGGTTGAGTTGAGGACAGAATGGAAGCCTTTGTTTTGAAGTGGTTTTTTATTGAATTAAAGTAGTCATGAGTATGTATGTATGTATACATACCAAGGAAGTACCACATTAGGTAAAAAAAAACAAACAACAAACCAAAAACTATGGCCAAACTTATGTCAGCAAATAGATTCAGATGGGTGAAATTCAAGTTCAGATTTGTTGCATAGAGTATCTTCTATTTCTGGCTCTAGCTAGTCCAACTTCAGTAAAGCATACTCTTTACATTTGGCTTGAATGCTCTTTGGGGTTCAATTAATCACAAATGCCTACAGAACATCCAATGTTATGTATGGACTTGTAGAAAGACTAAAATTAAATCTCTTTTCCTCAGTCTGATTTTAAGACTCACTTCTGAAGTAGGGAAGCCACAATTTCAGTATCTGATCATTTCCAATAGCTCTTAAAACGGGAAACAGTCAGATGTCTGCACGCACACACATGAAACTGTTGCAACGATGTAATGTAGCAGAACTGCAAGCTAGACAGTCTAAAAAAAGTTAAATGCATGAACTGCCAAGGATATTAATTCTAAAACCTTAATATGGCTACAGTGAAGTACTACAGAAGTCTGCATCTCTAAAAACAGATTCCATGTAACCCAGGAACACAAGTCAAAGCAGCTGAGTTCAGAAAGTTTCTATAAGCAAGTTTATTGGTACTTCACTTCCTCAGAGGAGCTAACCTTAACATGAAAAAAAATTCCCCTGTAAGCCCAAGCATTGGCCTGTTATGTAAACAGACCTATAAGGGCATCATATACAGCCCTTATTTTCTAGGTGGCCTAGCCCTCATTCCCTTATTACACCATGCACAGCAGTTTTCCATAAAAGCTACACTGAGTTTTTAGGTCCTTGGCCAAGTTCTGCTAAACAAGAAAAAAAAACACTCAAGTCAGCCATTTGTTACAAACAAACATCTTCCTGCTTCATGTCTACTAGAGTATGGCATTTTGAAGATTCAGAAGCAGCATCAGTTTTTCTAACAAAAATTTATCCAGATAAGTCTGAAGAGCTAATACATAGGTATAAGAGATATTCAACTCTTACTACCTTACTAATCTGAGAAAATAGTATTATATATTATGTAAAACGGAAGTGTCTATTGCACATTTCTTCTGTTTTAACCTTTGTGTCTAAGACCACCTCACTGTCCACTATTAAAAGCTGACGCTGAAAGTTGACTTCATGAGCTATGTTTCAGTAGGCTTTCTGCATTCCAGCAAGCTTGAAGGCAGAGTCTGGGTAAGTAACCTACTAGCGATTCTCCAGTGAAAAAACACAGCAGTCATGTGTTGATGAATAAACAGACTGGCTGTCCAAAATTCTAAGAAACAAGTGACTAAGGATTAGCCTAGTAACATACTCTATTCGTACCCATCTGATTAAAATTTTAAAGCTTCAGTCTGACCCCATTACCCCATATCCAGCTACCAAAGTCTTATACACACCTTCTCTCCTCCCCCCCCCCATTTAATGAGAACTGTCTTTTCCCAGTCAACTCCTGTTAAACCAACTCAGAATAGTTTTCACGTTCCTTTTAACAGTAGGTACAATTAGATTATTTTAAAAGACAAAGAAAATATATTGTTGCCCATCTTAAAAGTCACAAGAGATTCTTACCTACTACAAACATGATCTATTAGCAGCGAGACAGAATCTAGATTACTGTCTAGTTTGGTATTATGATATAGGCACCGGTCTCGTTGTAGTTCCACAGCCTGACGCAGCAGGTTCTGTAAACGCCTTGGAGGAAGCATCACTGACGGGGGTAGGTATGCTTTAGAAGAGTTAAGAAAAAAAAACAAAAAAGGTATCAAAACCAAGTTACAATTAAGAACATATAATGATTTAAGTGTTTTTAGAAGAGACTTTAGTAAATAAAAGCTTAAAAGCTAGAGGAAAAGAATGCACAGAGGTTGTCAAATTTACAGCTATACATCTGGAATTAGAAGCATAAACTTTTTGAAATCAGAGCTGTATTCAAGCTATTTGGAGTTACACTATATGTTGTCCTCACCAACAAGCACCATTTACAGAAGCTAACTCAAAACCCAGTATTTAACAAAATCTGTAAAACTATAAAACAGCATCAGCTGTGTTCATTTAAGGAATTCTCTATTAACACTATCAAAATTAAGAATACCATGGGTTTTACAACTCTGATATACAGTATTACACCAGCCACAAGAAAGCAGAAATCGTAATTCATAGCAAAGTCGGAGACCACTATCAACAAGTATTAGTATCACCAATGGTTATAGGCCACACTTAGTTTCAACCTCTCAGCATAACTGGCATTAACAAAACTGCCCTGCCCTCCCCTCCCCAAGCCACACATTAATCACCAAGTTATACTATTACTGCATACAGCAGAGATAAGAAATTAGAGCTCCTGTTACAAACAGCTTAGAGACAGCAAAAGATTAGATACAGAAGACCAAAGGGTAAAGGCACCTAAAGGCATCCCCATTAGCCAAGAAATACCAAAACAACAACTGGCAAATGCAGTTGAAGTCAATTCCCTAGGACATGTCATTATGTAATATGTACTGGATTTACAGAGGTGGAAATAAATTCTAAACACTAGAACATCTTACTCTGGAGTTTGTCCAAAAGTTTAGATCTGGAAGCTGTTCCTTTCCCTTCCCACTCTGCTTTTGCACGCAAGTCTTCTGCATGGCTACACATCAGATACCTGTTTTAAAAAAAGCACACACACACCAACAGACCAAGTCTTTCTGGAATCATTCTGTTCACTTTTGAGCATGATACATATCATAACATTCTTAATGAACTGGAAACAGGCAACTTAAGCGTGAGACTGGTAGGAAAAAGGCGGGGAACACACAAGCATGCACCTTCAGAACAAACGTCTACAAATTGGCAACAGAAAAAGAAAACAAAACACAAACACATCTTAGGGAAGGTAGAAATGTCTTCTTTTCATCTAAGAACAAAGCAGACTATATTACCTACTCATCTGTTTATAAGGTAACAGGCTAACAATTCTCAATATCAGATGATGTGTATGTATTAATTTGGGTTCTAGTACTACAAAAGTACATCATAATCAGGTTGCTTTCAACCATCTGAAACCGAACACTGTCTAGTGAATAGTCTTCTTTACTCACCATTTTAGCATATCTCACCATATCAACTGGATAATACAGTTTGAGGTTTTTACAGTGTCAGCTATCAAACGCTATAGCATTTCCTAGAAAATTCCACCGAAAGAGCTCTCAAAGTTCAAGCACTTACCCACTAAGGACATGAATGCGTTCTGTATTGTATTTCAGAGGCGTCAGTTCACAGCGCAGAACTTGAAGTGCCTCCAGGACCTTGCCATCCTCCAGGTATTCCAGGTACTTCTGCTGCAGCAGCAAAAACTTCATCCTCTGACATGACAGAAAGCAGCAGTCAGGGGAAAAAGGTTGACTGAAGTTTCAGAAAACGTTTGAGCCTAAACAGAACAGTAGAAACCATTCTACTATGCCCTTCAGAAACACAGCTATATGTAATGTTTCATTACTCAATTTCTTTTTGCTGGGTTTTGAACAACATTGCAGCAATTAAGCTATCCATGAATTTCCTTTCTGCCTTACGGGGCTCCAAGTATCTTTCTACCTCACTGCTCAGATCCCCCCCTTCAACTTGTCTCATTTTCATACTCACTCCCTTTTCAGTCACCATTCTTCGAACCCCAAATTAGATAGGTTTCCCAATCTTACATTCTATCAAGAAGAGTGTCCAAAAGGTGCTATGACATATTTAAGACTGCATGACAGCACAGAACACAAGTTCTCATACTGCTTGTATAGGAGCTGACATGGATTGTTTGCATAGCTGCATAACATATACCAATAACAAATTGATACTGCCTGAGGTGTCTTTTTATTGTAGTTGCATGTTAAGTTGTTTTCTTTGGGTGTTGTATCATTTTTCAGGATTACAGAAAAAAACCAACACAGTATCCTACATCTAGGAATCACTTCTCAGAAGCAGTCACTGCTATTTCAATTTCATAGTGTTCCTTTAGTCATGTACAGTTTTTGGTTGCTTTCTTTTGAAAAAATAAAGGCTGCTATTCTAACAACAAATGTCTGTGGATAAAAAAAGAAAATTCAGGCATTTATCTACTATAATCTAAAATCTGAAGTCCTAAAAATTTCTAACACTGATTTAGTAGAAACACAGTTCGGTTGTTTCTGGATGAAACCAAATACTCCGTGTTTGCACTTCTTTACTGCTAGCAGTCATCAGGAAGAAAAGACATTTCTGGACCATGAGACTCACCAGGTTGAAGAGGAAAATGTACATTCTTAGACGCACCAGTGACAAGCAGAATGAAGGTTAAGTGTAGCAGATTACATTTGCTTTTCTAATGAATACACCACCAGTTCAATCACTGCTTTCCTTTGCTTTGTCAGACCTCAGGCACCTCGCTATTTTCATGCTCATATTTGGTCAATGTTTACTTAGTTTCAAACACACTGCTAGCCTCCTTAAGTAGAGGGATAATTGGGAAGTTTAAGATGCTCCTGTTCTATTAAAGCTTAAATGCAAGTTTAAGGCTTGCTATATGTAAAATCCAAATTTAAAACATAAAGCAGTTTCATCTTCCAGAGATGTTCCGTTCTTCAAAAGAACAAAGTTTCCACATACAGTGCTATTAACTTACCACACACCTTTGTGAAGCATAAAACATTACCTAGTAAAATTGATTTATGTTCAAACATGTCTGTAGTAGTCTATTGTCCTGTACGTAACAGGCAAACCCTATCCAGTTCTTTAGTTTATTTGGATTTGGAATTGTTAGAGCGTCACTGTACAGTTTTTCCAGGTGAGAAAACATATTTTGGTGTTCTGATATCCCAATTATTTACAGCCTCAGTGGCTGGTTCCATGCAGTAGGCCAGCAGACCTCATGCTGTTTGCTTACATACTAGCAGCAGGAGGGATAAGAGCTTCCTCTCCCAGCCATGCATGTGCTCATGTGGGTGCACGGAGGTGCTCAGGTAGTAGTCACGTATCGTATTTCTCTCCTCTTGGTCACCATCAGATTAAAAAAATAGTCTGATATTTCCAGTTTGTAATAAAACTATAATCCCTCCAACTCTTCCTTCTCTATGTACTGCATATAATATTTATTAAATTTAGGTCATCTTTCCCTTACATGTGATAACCGTATGTGCATCTAATTACTGCTTTCTCCCTCCCTACTTATAGGCCTTGGCACATTAATTTCTTTTCTTTACAGTAAAAAAACAAAAAGAGCAGAAAACTCTTAAAAAAAAAACCCCACACAAAAACAAAAAGCAGCTTTCGTAACACTGGTCCTAACAATTCCATGGAAGTATTACAGGAACACTACCATGCAGAATCCTGTTGTCAAGTTAGCTAAAGAGGTATAACTTCAGTTTTGGGTTAGAAAGTATAATTTCAAAACAAAGCCATGTATGACTTTGGTGTATTAGGAATATAAAAGCCTCTAGAGAACAACACATTACTATACACTTCATTCAGGAGTCAACTGCTAACACAACAGAGAATTAGAACAAGCAGTTTTAAATTGTAACTTATCTATAGCAAAAGGCAGATACTAAAAGTGTTGATAGTGCAGATAAATTGATTTTCTAAGCTATTTTGATAACTGCTCCAAAACTTGCCCTACAGCATACTCAAACAATGGCATGAACACAGCCTCCTCAAGGCAAGAGTGACATCACATTCCAAGTCTTTTCTTGTATTGGGACAGTTGGGACACTCACGGCCTCCTACCACTTATTTTCGTGCAACTATTGGCTTTGCTGACAAATAGATTTCACTGAACAACTGAATTTTATCTTAATTTTCTCTCAACTACTTATCTGCCCTACTAACAGCACTGCTAATTACTTCCAACACCACCTTCTCATGGTAGACAAGGCCATTTTGAGTACATCAAACAAGCTCATACAGCCCAAACAACCTCTTCTAGAAGAAGGAAAGAGAACTGTTTATTATATCAGCAACTGTAAAGCATAAACGCCACCATTTAAGTAGAACAGAACAAGTACAAAACTAATCCGACGTGATGCACCCACAAGAACAGCTTACTCATTCTCCCTGTTCTTTAGCTGCCTTCCAAAAAAGGGAAATAAAAAATTATCATAATCCAAATTATACCATGTGCAATGTAATAGAAGTGCCTGTGATTTGTCGTTATCTCAGTGTTTGCAATGAAAATTCAACATCATTGCACTCTTTACTGTTGAACAACTTAAATCCAGACACCACCATCGCTTAGCCTATAGCAAAGATTCTCCACCCTGCAGGACCCATGGAAGAGTCCCGTACAACAGTTTCAGCACTGCAGTCTGTCTGGTTTTGTTCAGTTATTACTACCTCATCCTGTCTTTCAACTCTATAGAGAGGATGAGGATAAAGTGCATTACTTTGTTGTTTCTAGAAGCTATTTAAGTCTAAGTTGGACCTCTGCTCACCCTGGGGCAAAACTAAGACAGAGTTAACAGATTTACAGGGGTTTTTTTATTTTAATGCATGTACTATTAGCATTTTACTTTCTTCAAACTACAGCCTTCAATTACTAACGAATGTTTAGTACTTTTCTGCGTCACTGTCCTAATTTTTAGTGGGAAAGCCCCCTGCAGAAACTTAAATTCTAGGAAGTTTTGCATGTACCATGATTCACCAGCACTAAGTAACCAAAGGTGAAAGCCTCAGCAACACAACTGTGAAAATAATAGGACAAGCATCTACTACAGTCAAGAAACTGGACCATTTTGATCACTGGTTACAATAGCAACTCTTCAGAAGCTTAAAGACTAAAACGCACAGCAATCTAATTTTAGGATTAGATTTTCATGTTATTTTTGACCTGCATGCCTTAACAAGCTCCACCTCAGTTTTCTTACTGTACTAAGAGTTCAAAATAGATAACACTCCTGAAACAACTCTTATTTGAAATGAAGGCAGCAAATGAAAGACATGCTGAAATTATTAGCTGATGTTTTAAGACACAAACTCAACACAGTAGCCCTCTGCTTATAGCCTGCAGAACTAAGACGCCAGTTTTCATTACTTTGATAGTCTTGTAAAACATGGATAAAAGCACTTTAAAACCATCCATAACTTAAATGTAAGATTTTATATGTAAAAGGACAGAAAATATTCTGGCCTGTAGAATTTAACAAGGTTTCAACCACTTAAAGAGTAATTCATGCCAATAGAGAACTGCCCTTAATGCTGGTAGCAAGAGCGATACCACACAGGCAGGTGGAGCACTTGACTCAAACTACAAGACATAAATCACTTTTTTTTTTTTTTTTTTAAATTTAGAGGACAATTAGGAAGTATATTCTGGATGACTATAGAAGAATGATCTCCAGGTTCAATCAGTCACCCATGATCGGTGCCATAGTATGTTTGGGTAGCCCTAAAAATAAGCAAAACTTGAGGCTGGCTTGAAGCTTATATTTTCTAGGGGTTCCTGATGGAAAAATAACATGCTCGAGTTAACTACAAAGCTTTCCTGCAGCCTGTCTCAAGACAGTTATATCGTACATGCTGGAAAGGTAAACATGACTAATCACACACTATATAGCACTCAGTTGCGTGGACACAAATAGAAATAAGCAGGCTGTCTCCTCCCCCCCCCAACATATCAATACACAGCATCAAACATTTACAAACTGAGATCAGCCATTTAATGTTTAGTGTTTTCACCTGTAGAACTTACAGCACTTTGCAGAAATAAGGAAATTAAAATAGGAGTTGAATTTTCAAAATACACACATATCCCCTTCACTGACCAGACATTTGAAAAGCAACTATATATCCTGGTTATGCTGTCCAGGTCATACTGACTATAAGGAAAAAAACAAAACCACAACCCAAAACACCAAACACATGCACACACCACCCATACACAACCCCCCCACTCTGTCAAATACTCTGTGTCATCTGAACTTTTAGGTACCCATTCTTCTCGTACACACACATTTTTGAAACGTCTAGTCACACACTGTAAGTCACAAGTCAGGAAATCCAGCATCTAATTTTCTGCATTTAAAGAGTTACCTGCAGCAGCATCTTGTCTGGACTTTCGCTAATCAAGACATTTATCATCTTCATTAGCTCTGACTGTTGCAGTCTGAACTACCTACAGAGCATAAAGCATCCCTCCTTACCTGTAATGATCTTTCACTAGTTTCCCGGGCACTGACTACACCCACCCATAATCCCAACCACGTACAAAACAGTCAGGTGGGGAGGGAGGTGGAGATAGTACGTACATGAAGCACGCACCAGCTCAACTTCTCCTTGCAGTTACTAACACACACGTAAGACATTTAATACTGTTGTCTGTTTTAAATTATATGAAGTTCATATAAAGGAGAACTTTAAAAAAATAGTTAATATTTGGTTCAAGTAAAGTTCAGTCTAAACCAGGTATTTTTATTGCACCAAGTTTTATTGAAGCAGTTAGACATCAACATTCAGGAGCACACTTTCAGAGCAACCAACAGAAATGTCCCCTTTCTTCCTCAAATTAAGTTCTCCAAAAAGCACAATGCAGATACTCAGTTAAACCTCTTCACTCCCAGACACATAAAACACTTGCATACTACAGAAGAACTTGGTAACTTCACAAGATAGAAAGATGACAAAAGTTGCTTCAAATGACCATTCATACTCACATACAGTGGTTTCATACTTTCAGTCTCCACAAACTATTGAAAACTGCATGCAATATTCTAAACTGTATGAACAGTAGATCTTCTGTTTATCAAGTCTTTGAGAAGAGAGAAAGTGAACTACTAGTCTAATTAAGAGGTGCTAAGCTTTGACCAAATGAATAGAGCATAATGTAAACTTTTCTCAAGCACCCTCTGATGTTTTGTTAAACATCTGTTTTTCCTACTTCACTTCCTGTTCTCTTTCTCTCCCTCCCCCAACAGACAGGAAATTGTCTTGACAACAAATGAATCAGCTAGAAGTGGAGCTAAGCAGCCATCAGCTGATTCTTCATTGTTTACAGTCACAGACACTTCAAAAACCACTGCCACGGTTTTCTTCTTAAGTGACCCTAGTTGTTCTAACTTCATTTCGTTAAAATAAAGATATAAACACAACAGAACAAGCCGTTTGAAGACCTAACTAATTATTCTCGAGATAGAAAAATCAACCCAAGAAACACTTTCCTCAAAGTAACTGAAATCATAACAACACATATGGTAATTGTCAAGTCACAGGATCAACAAACCTTTATTTCTAGGTTCATCTTCAAAAAAAAAAAGCGCCAGCCAAAGAGAAAAAGAAAAAGCTCTAAATAAAATCCCGAACAGCAATACAAATACATTTGCTCTTTAGAAGCCATCTGGAAAAGCAACAGTATTGTTCACACTCTATAGCAGCCTCTATATTCTTGTAATGTGCTATTACAACGCAAACTCCACACTAGTACTACTGCATTCTGTTTCTAAACTTCTCTTCCCTCAAGAAAGCCTAACTCTCAAACACAGAGATTGCAAGAAGTATTTCAAATTTGAAATTAGTATTCAACATACTTAGTTTCTACAGAAACAGATCTATTTTCAGACTGTTACAGGATTCATATTTTATCAGTTAAGTATGTTTAACAAAGTTTAAACATTCAATACACCAAATATTAGCCTCAATACTTTTGGGCTTCCTATCTCACATTCTAAAAAAGAAATAAAAAAGTTCAGATTCGTACAACGTTTTGAGATAGCATACAAGCCACTTAAAGTAAACAAAAAAGAAAACAAGAACTATGGACAACCAACTCCACAGTGAAAGATTACACCACTACAATTAGTCCAACTATACAGTTCTGAAAGAGTTCAAGTGTGCCTCTTACCACAATTGCATGCGGAGAATGCACTAAGGCCTTAAGTTCATTCAGGTCGTTTTCAGCCTGCAGAAATCGGCATAAGAAAAAAAAAGTACATAAGGAATGTGGATTTTGAATTCTCTCACAGATACTATAAATTTAAACAGTGGTTAATACAGTCCTATAAGCCCTACGTTACCTTATCCCATTCTCCTTCCATGACATGATTGCGGAATTTGGTAGCAGAAGGATGTTCTAAACGACATCCTGACTCTTGCATGAGAAGATCAACAGTCTGGCTGCAGGAGAGATACAGTGTAAAAAAACCCGACCAGTTTTACCCTCACAAATACACCACCTGCTATGATAACAGTTAACCATGTTTAAAAGTAACAATACTATGACCAGGTTCAGAGGCTTGTCCAAAAAGACTCAGTTGCCTGAGACATGTAAATGACTACCTATAGGTAAAGCAAGCTGTCAATGAGCTTGAAAGCTTCCCTGAAGTACCATAAAGTATGTGACTTACCAGCCACCACAAACAGCCACCCCTGCATAGAAGACAGACTTCATGAAGGAAGATACAGACTAGAAAGCTGTTAGCTACTGGCTACTATCCCCTGCTCGCTCCCCCCCTTCCCCAAAAACACTGAGAGCTACTACATCTGCAATAGGCCTAACCTTTTCTTCTTCATCACGTATTAAAAGACTGGCTCCTTAAAATAAAATAAACAAACTTATGAACCTGTAGCCCTCCCCCTTTTATGCTAAAAATAGCTTATTTACTGTGGTGTCGTCTATGAACAGTCACGAGTTGTCTGCTGCTGTAAACTTGCCTCGTGTCAGAGGCAATTTATTTTATGTACTAAGTTATTTCTAACTGATCCATTCCACAGTGTTTGAAGACTTCTTTTGTGGTGGCTACATGAGTATTTCGCAGGACTTCTCTAGCCTCCTTCCAAAATCATGATGTGTTGACTTTAGCTTTACTAAAAAAAGTGCGTGTTGTGATTAAATTCTTAGACCTCCCCTACTCCACTGAGAAATTATTTTCCCTATTCCGATTTTAAGAAAAGGCCAACATATGCATCTCTAGTTGACCGATAAGACTATTACCAAAAACACGCGTCCAGTACAAATCTGCTAAGGCCTTCAACACGTACAGGGACGAAGGTTTTCAGAGTGGAACCAAACAGCCTGTTTAAGTGGCAGCTGAGTTTGCGCTCGCTTCCTCCCAGCTGACAAGCCAAATCCTGGAGCTCATCTGCAAAAAG